TATTGGTAATAGTTTTCAAGATAAGAAACGTAACTTTTTTTTGTTGTGTTTGCGCGAATCGGAAGTAAAGATGTAATATCATCGTGCCCCACTGTATCCGAATCTGAAATTACTTTAATATTATTTTCTGTAGAAAACATACTGACCCTTTCCAATTTTCACAAAATTTTTGACTAGCCCGTTAATCTAGATATTAGTATTACTATACTTACATACTATTTAAAAAAAAAAAAATATTTTGGCTAACTTAGACTAGCTCTATTCTATCGGTTAGGGACTAATACTTGGTTTGGACCTAACCAGATTAGGTTAGGTTAGGTTAGTGTCTAACTCATTTAAATTTTTGGGAACGACTTTTTTGGGTGCCTTTGGTAGTGTGTAGGCCCAGTATTTAAAAAAAATATTTAGGCTAACTTAGACTAGCTCTACCTAATCGGTTAGGTACTAATACTTGGTTAGGCCCTAACCAGAGTAGGTTAGGTTAGTGCCTAATTCATTTAAATTTTTGGGAATGATTTTTTTCGGGTGCTTTTGGTAGTGTGTGTATGCACGGGGGGGCTTTGCTTCCCTGCACCCTCCCCATCAGGGGGTTCCCCGCCCCCCATTCCCCACTCCCCCTATCACTTTTCTTGAGAGTATAACCCAGAACTCTCAGAACCAGATACAGTCAAGAACCGCTACTCTACATGGTCGGACGTATTGTGGTACAGTGTTTTCAACTTTTGCTGCCATGAGTGCCAAACCCGGGAAACCGAAGCCGCACTTGTATTCCTAGCTCCACTCCCGAGTTCCTGCAGCTAACCCGACACCGCCGCCACTCAACCATGTAGTAAGTGTTTTTTACTAGCGTGTGTTGGCGGGGAGGGGGCTTAACCCCCTTTACCCGCCTCCCCGCTTCCCTCCCATTTTCCGCCTTCCCTCGCCTTTATCCAGCCACTTCCGCGGCTCGTAATTCTCCACGTTCGTGTTTGCCTTTCCACTTTTTTTCCTCTACTTACCCGGTCTATGAACTTTCGCAGAAAAATTTTGTCTAGGGATTCTTGGAAAATTCCCCAGTATTTCTTGGGAAATCTGTAAAGTTTATTCATGTTAAATCTGTAATATAATGCCCGTGCTACAGTGATCGCAAACGCAAACTCGAGATATAAATCTCGTAGAATTGACCAATCACGCTGGTCAATTGGCTGATTAGATCAATACGATTAATCACTTCTACCAGACCTGTTCCTTGCGTTTGTGCTTGCGATCAATGTAGAACGAGCTTTATGTAGAATGGTCTTTATAACCGTGAGATCGTGCGATTCATCTCCTGCAATCCTTGTAGAACAAGCTTTAGATGTCTTTCGGATCAAACTAGTTGTCACGTGCTTGTTCTTAGGCCTGTTCTACAATACAGTTATAAGCTGTAAGTCGTAGAAAAAAAAAAAAAACTTAAAAACGAATGGATTTGCGACGTAATGTTTAAAACATTTTGGTTTAGTTATAATTTTTAAGAAAAACAAGAATAAACTCGCGCCAAAACGAACAATTTTTCGTATTTTGGTGTCTAGGAAATTTTCTTGAAAACTACAATTTAAGGAGAAACGAAATACGCCAAAGAGAATGGAGTTTTTTATTTTCTGTGCTTAGAGAATTTTAGAGATTAAAGTTGAATTTGAAGAAAACCAAAATTCGCAGCGCATTTTCTCGTCGCATTACATATATACAAAAAAAAAAAATTTAAATCTTTCAAACCCGAGTTTTTATTTTCCTATCAAACTGTATTTTATATACAACTCTCAAAAACATTATTATTGTGCTATATAAAAAAAAAAAAAGAAAAATATTCTACATGAGAACTGATATCAAAATTGGCGCCAAATATACGTTATTGCATTGTTGTAAACTATGGATGTAAAATACAAAATGTTAATATTGTGTGCGTATCTTGGTACGTTATAAAAATATTTTATTGAGTTAACTTTTCACGATCTAAAACAAGACGCATTAAAGAACAACTTTTTTTATTTTTAAATAAAAATTTTGATTAAAACTTTATCTTATGCACTGTTTGTTATTTTATGTTGTAATGTGTAAGGTTTTCAACAATAAAGCGAGATATATTCAAAAAAGTTCTGTTTCCGGGATATTTATGTTTATAAAATATTTTTATATTTTAGTATATACACACATTATTCGCAACTAATTTGTATTCTTTATAAAAACGTCGTGGTGGGATAATAATAATGATTTCTCTTTTTTGCCTAGTTTCTTCTGTGATGTTTGGTTTTTTGCTTCTTTGCAAAAAAAAATCTCCTCAAACAATTGTTTCAACTTTTTAGAATCAGAATATCTTCTCATCTTATTACAAGGTGTATCTTTGTCGGAACTGTACAATATATTTCAATCGCATACATGCTATTTTACATTAATATAGAAATAATAAATAAAACCAAAAGAGTTTCTATACTATACTGTCAAATGTCGGTAGTACACAAGAGAATTTCGATACATGTAAGAAAAATATTCACCGATTTCTTATTCGTGTCGTGTACTTCGATGCGATAAAACAGGAATTATATTTATCTCAAACTCGACGCATCTTTCACTTCTTGAGATTATTTGTAACATTAACTTATCGTTAAAAATTCTTTCTAACATTAACCTATCGTTTTTTTTTTTAACTTGGACCAGTTCTTATATTTGAATATCGCTCGTACGGGTTTTCTTCAGCGATATCAACTTTAAATGCTTTGTCACACATCAATTTGTATATCACTATCTTCCGCTTCACTCTCAGTACTGACTATCGCGTCTTCTCCCACTAACAAAGCTGCGGGCAAATTCTGGGGCACGTTGTCAATGTCTAATCTCGGGGTGGAATACACATTTAAGACTTGTATCGTCGTAGGAGACGTTGAAAGACATTGTGGCACGGTTCCCAAAGGATCTCCGTTTAGTGTGTCGCAATCCAAGGAAGTGGACAATTGCAATTGTAAATTATGTAGTTCAGGTATATGTGGACGAATCTGAAATATATATAAAATATTTATGTATGCAAACTTGTATAAAAATCGGTACGAGATCTTGAACAAAGAGAGAATTGATTCCAAATCAATTGTTCCAATAGGATTGATTCCAATTTCTCTTCCATTTAAATATGATACAACAAGAAGTGACTTCCGCGGTTCGTAGCGGTTAGTTCGATTTGAAATGTTTAATTTTCGGTAAATGAGAGACAATAGCGTTCTTCGCTTAATTTCTCTTATTGCATGCTCTCGTGTGTTCTCTATATTTCTGTCTCAAGTCTTTCTTTATCGAAACATATAATTCTCAAATAGCGATCAGTTTTTAGTAAAGGAATATCTTCAACATGATTTAATTTCCTGAATTTCTACATTTTTTTCTTTTTCTTTTTTCGGTCGTTTATTTCTCATACTTGACACTTTTATATTTTCACTTTAATTGCATCTGTCTAGTAATTTTTAAATAAGTACCTTTAATCCGTCAGCTGTATGAGGATTTCTGCAACCTCTACATCTACATTCTACGCAAGGTTTGCTTTCGACGTAACAAGGACATCTTTGGCCGCAACAAGTTAGCTTTCCAGGCATTGCGGTGGCATTGCCACATCTGCAACCTTTTCTTTTACTTCTGGCGGAACTTGATCTTGGCTTTTTAAAACTGCCCGATGGCTGGTTGTAACAAGTAAATTTTTTATGGTAATATTTTAAAAAAATATGGATATGTCTAATAGATTAATGCCGAAGCGCGTAAATGTAGTCGAGAAGTAACGCAAACATCACTTCCGATATGTCAAACAGAGGCGATAAACAATCTATCGGATGTTGACGATTACAATTGATATAATAAATTATAAAAATAGAGAAAAATCATAGAAATATATAAACACAGTCGTCTGTGTTACAAATAACTATTCTCTGAGAAGAGACAAAAAACAACGAGTAACTTCTGCATTAATCTTTCTTATAACGCCTAAATAAATGAGTCATTTTCTTTAAAAACTAGTACTTATTGGTATGAAAATAAGTGCTATAACAGCGAATGATTGAATAAATTCAGTTGTAATTGTCAATAAAATAAATAAAAGCACTTGTTATATCTTATAAAAAATTAAAAAGAAAGTTTTGGGACTGGGAAGAAGCAAACGTAGTTGATAGTACGTAAAAGAATGTTTCCTAATCTTGAATTTAGTTGCACGCGTACGCTTCGATGTTATTTAAAGTTCTTTTTTTTCTTTGTTCATCCGATACGAGAAAATGTAATTGGACCAAATGTACAAATAAGTAAGTATGAAACGAAAGCAAAGCATTTACTTACAAGTTTATGATATGTTACTAAATAGTTGTTCACGCAGTTCGAAAAAGTCAAAATATTGATTGTAAAGTCAAGACGTTTAACACAAGTTCTTTTTGTCTACTATTCGTTATTTTAGATAAAACGAAATAAACAGTACACAAAGAACCTGTATGTCACTAATATCGCCTTTAATATTCCAAGAATTTCTAATTGTTCGATGTCGCTCTGCAAATTCAACTGCGGTTGGCGTTGCAACAAGTCGGAGAAAGTGTAAAACCAAACGCAAATAAATTAAAACTAATCGATTAATCGCATTGAACGAGTACACGAAATTTCTGAGATAAAAACAATCATTCCGAGACATCTCCGATTTGCGATACTGAATGCTGTGTATGACGATGGTTTTTTTTATATGCATCGTGTCGGAGAGTGAGTGTTTATAATGGAAGGAGAATGCATTTTGTTTGTCAGAATTTTCATGTTATCTCAGATACATTCGTGAAAGTAAGCATTTGATTTTGGTTCATTTGCCAAAATATCCGCTATCTGTATCTTAAAAATAACCTTTGCGAGTTCGTTCAAGATTGTGTAAGATTTCACGTACGAGATGGTAATAAAAAAAAAAAAAAAAAAAAAAAAAAAAACTTATTTTTTAAGTCGTTACCAAGAATCTAACGTCTCCTAATTCTCTCTTCCTGTCCGTTATGATTATAAAACAAACTTCAAAGTCGTCCGAGATAAGTACGAATAAATCCAAGATTGTATTGAAAAGAATTCTTTTGTGTACTGTCAACCCCACATTTGTCTTTTTCTGGCCCGATTTTCTTTTTAAAGTTCAATTTGATATCTCAGCGTTGATTTTTTCACTCAGTCTTATAAAATACGATATAATAAAAGACATAAATATCTTCAAGCATTTAAATAAAGACTATATATCTCGATGTAAATTCTACAACGCGTAATAAGATTAACCAGGTATTTATTAAAATTACTTTGCTGTTCTTTGAAGATGCTTTTTTCTCGCAAGGAGACCCGTATTTGAGATGATGGGAAGATGGAATACATTTTACTCCTCCTGTAGAGCTATGTTGACTTCCGTCTGTCTCTTGTTGTCCAATTTCTGTATCTTCCATAGCAGCTGCTTTTCGTTTTATTGTAATTTTGTTTCCAGATCCAGCATACATCACGGAATATATGGACGATCCGTTTGATACTGTACGGATTGTGGGTGATTCTGTTTGAGATAAAGAACAATTGTGAAACAATAAGTATGAAAAACTAGACTACTTGCGTACATATGAATAAATATTAATTTAATTAATTGTTGGTAACAATAATACTTGTACTCTTTTTAGAATCGCAATAAAGATTTAATTTATATCAAGTTTTATTTATTAATGTACTTTATGTACATTGGTATCTGTTTTTCATATATTAAAAAATAAATAAATATGCTAAAAGTTTGAAAAAATTCAATATTAACTTGTTGAAATAGTTATCTTTTTGATATAATCATGTTTTAAATATTAATAAAGTTTGTTTAAAAATATAATGTCTCGAAACTTTTCTTCGCCATAAATTTTTCAACATATTCCAGTATTGTATTCGTACTTGTGTGATAATTTGTATATTTTAATCATATATACCGGGTATGCTCTGAGATATCGCCTCTGTAGTTTGAATGTTATTTGCCTGTGTCTGAGTGGATGTAGTGCTGGTGTAAACACAAGGCAAGATACTATATGCGGATTTAGAAAGACCTGCGTTGCTTTTAAACTCATCCTTGAAGCCTGCGCCTTCCTGGATGAGCTCCATGAGACTGCTCGCACCGATCGTAGACGGTGCTCCATTGGTTGTCGCGTTGTTAGCAGACGTCACAGAGAGCAGTAGAGTGCGATAAATGCCGGTGCTGGTGAGATACTCGCAAAGTTTTTTATAGCACTGCAACAGTATCCGCAGTTGAACGTTTTCCACGTACTTGTCGTAATCTTTGCACCAACCGCACGATGGTTTCAGTTTCTTGCGGCCGCCACGACATCCGCGGCACACGTGATGTTGACAGTTGGTTTCTGTTGGCGTGTGCGGCTCGATTAGCAAATTCGAACACACGGTGCAGCTGAGGCTCTGTCGTAGATACGGGACTAGCCTGTACAAATCCGTCCAAGTTTTCGGATCTTCCACATCCGCCTGCAGCACCAGCCGACACGTTGACACGTATAGACTTGTCGCGTTCATTGCGTTTCACGCACTTGATTGTCGTTTTGCGAACTTGTAGAGCATGCACAAAGCGATATTAAATTCCACAAACTTTGTAACAATTACTAGACACTTTGCGCGAAACCATCCTCGAGCATATAACAAAACATACGCCATGTCTCGACGATGACAGATGGCAGTCCACCGTGCCATAGATGCACCAGATATAACAGATTCCCGCTAACGTCAAATCGTTGGGACCGACTAACCCATAGACATAGGAATGAGGAGACGGGAGCGTAATCGATCCTTAGGGCCGATGCGCAGACTTTTGCATAACGCGTATAAGGCGTAAAGCCTAAGTTATACTACGGATTTGGATTGAGATTGGATTGCAATTTGGCCAATCAGAGCGAAAATCAGTAAACTTAGGATTGGTTTTTTCTTTCTTCTGATTGGTCAAATTTCAATTCAATCTCAATCCCAATCCGTAGTGTGAAATAGGCTTAAGAGAATCAACCAATCTGGTCTTCTATTTTCACCCCCACTTCTCGTTTTAAAAAATTCCGATTGGTCGATTTTTTTTTATCTTATGTGCGTGATGCGTTATACAAAAGTCTGTTCTTCGACCCTATATACATATATATAGTACTGTAGATGGTTTTTGGAATTACTGCTCTCGGTATTCTCTCTGTTCTATTCCATTTTCTAGTGGTATTCTGTGTTTGTGTGTGTGTGTGTGTGTGCGTGCGCGCGCGCAAGAGAAGTACGTGAGATGATAATTTCATCAATTGGAGAGATATATGTGATACGACTGTTAATATTACTTCGGATTATTCTTGTTGCGAACTTTTCGAAATAAGTTTTTGGCTTTAAAATATATAATTTCACGAGACAAGTGAGAGAGAGAGAAAGAAAGAGAGCGCAAGCAAGTGTCATGCTTTGGAAATTGTCGAGGCGCTCAACAATTGTTAAAGAAACGAACACGAAACACAAGTGTGCGTTCAATGCGAAGTATTGTGTTGGCGCAGCTTGTTTTTTGCGTAAAAAGTAGAGACAAAGAGTGTATAAAATTATATATTCAAAATTTAAATGTTATCGGTCGCAAGTATCTCTGGCATATTATTCGGCGAACGAATGACAATATTTTTTTTATATTGCACGCTTAGAGGTTATTATATTAACATTTGATAAAGCGTGTGTGTGATTAGTAAAAATTGAGCAGAACTTGGCAAATTTATACGATCGATACGCGATCGGGGTACGTTGTGACATCATGGAGAAGTTTGTGATCGATTTGGATAAAGTTCTCAATGATTTTGAATTTAACGAAGGTATGATTTTAAAAATTTTCTAATTTGTCTTTGTTTTAGATTTCATTGTTTATATATCTGTGTTTACGATTTGTAATATTTTGAATTTCATACATGTAAAATGTAGATAAGAAAGTGATTAAAGTTTGTTTTTTAAAATTGAAGTTGAGTTAATATACGTTTTTTTTTTTTTTTTCAGATTGTGCGGAGCAAACAACTTCGGTTACAACCTGTGCGATCGATGCGTCGAGCAACAAAGACAACCGTGCTGCGGCACCTTCAAAGACGCGCAATTTTAATTCTGAAAAAAGCGTAGAGATTGATGTGCCTCTTGAAAAACGCAAAGATACTCGCGAAAAGAACGTAGTTTCGGTATCGGACAATACAGATTCTATTAATAATCTTAATACTTGCGTCAATGATAACACAACTGAACAGAAATTGTATGTTTATACTCAAGATCCTGATCAAACATCCCTAATGATGTACAAAGATATATCGTGCAACTTGGTGCAGAAACAACAAAACGGAAGCAGCGATTTGAAGAATGACACGCGATACGATAAAAAATTGAATCAATCGAATTTCAAGCCCAGCATCAGCAATGTATTCAGCAGCCTGAATGAATACATCAATGCTCCCACGGGAAGTTTAGATTATATTGAACCTATATTGGATAAAGCAGAAAATTTACCTGGTACAAAAAAAACTAACATTGCCGAAGATGACTCCAAATTGAACGAGACAATTAACATTCTCACTGGTAAATGCTCCGCTCAAGAGGGAAAAAGAATACAAGTAACTGATGCGAGTGATCACGCTTCTTTAGATATAATCGATAAAAATGCCTTGGATTACTGTTTGCCGTTAGAATTGCCAGATACATTCGTCCAAGTTGTTGAAGTCGACAGCAAACAAGACAACGCGATGCAAAATAATCTTATGTCGCAACATTCTCCTCAGATATCACTCGATAGAAATAATATTACCAACGTTGTGATAACTGCGTCGGATACTGTTGTAAAACAGGATTCCAAGAATATTATTGAAAACACAGAGTTGTTTGGTAACAGCAGAACACGTGTTATTAATGAGAATGCAACGATTAATGATGACACATTCAAAGAGACGTCTCAAACTCTTGCCGACAAACAAAGACAAGATGCGGAAGCTCAAGATTCTGTCGGTGCGACATTTGTCGATGAGACAAAGACAGATAGCGCTGTTGCAACCAACAACAAAATTGAAGTGAACAAAGAGACAAAGACAGCTAATAATTGCAATACTTTGTCCAATGTTTATACGATGCGTGCGAATGTTGGCAATTTTTCTGAAGATGAGCTCAATCGGTATTTGTTAGAATTAGAAATGGAAGTAAGATCTAAAGTGGAAAACACGTGCTTGGATAAAACTGCTTGGACCAAGTTGGAAAGCCTGCGAGAAAAGACTGTGAATGAACGACGAGACGACGAAGACGCTAACGAGGCGCCGATATTTGAAAAAATTATGATTGGCGAATTACCAAAAATATCAGACGTTGAGTTTCACGAGAAAGCGAAAAAATTTCCTGTCATCGATTATAATACTGATGTGTGTAATGAAGATGTAATGGATATACAATGTAGCGATGCAAGAGTCATCTCAAACGAAACGAGTAATCAATTAAACGATAGACAGATTAACAAGATGATTAAATCGACGAAACATAACGATGCAAATATTGCAAGTGGTTATGCGGTACAAGAAAATGCTTTAACGGCTACATTGAGTGTTATTGATGAAGATAAGTCGTCAGTAACGTCGGAATCTAAAAATGTAGGAGAACAATGTATTCGTAACATAAATATGATGCCGAAATTACAACAGAATATTCATGTAGATACTCACTTAGAAAATAGCAATAGCAGCGCTGTGAAAACTTTTCCGTCAAATTTATCGGAGAAAGATGATTGCAACGATAAAATTTATTGCCGAGATCTTGTGGAAAATAGCAAGGAAAATGTTCTCGCGCAACATGGTGCTCGAACGCGTGATAACGATACAAGTTCCAAGACGGAAAGTACGTCCAAACTCACTGACTCTTGTGTAGTTCATACTAGTGAAAATAATCAAGAAGCTGGCAAACCGGCTCGTCCGCAGACTTTAAATATCGTCTCGACACATAAGAAAGATGAATCTCATATGTTTGGTATGTTTTTTCATATGTTGTGCTTCACGCATTATGTGCGTTGCGTTTGAGAGTTTGGAGCAGCTTATTGCCAGTATAAAATATTCGATTCGAGTTAAACTTGAATGTTGTAACAGAATCTTCGAGCGCTATACCGGAAGGTGGACCGGAACGTTCGGAAGGTCGAAGTGTTGTTGAGGAAGATCGAGGAGCTTCGTCGGACGTGTCCGATAATTCTTTAGTCGAATTTAACGTAGTGTTGGGAAAGCAGCCTCCATTCTGGATTCCGGATAGCGACGCGCCTAGTTGTATGTTGTGTGACACTAAATTTACCGTACTTAAGAGACGTCATCATTGTCGTGCTTGTGGTAAGGTATGTAAAGTTTCAAAAAAAAAAAAAAAGTAAACGGAAAAGACAGTCAGTTTGTTTTTGTGTACCAATCAGAGACGTTTAATTCTGGAACATATTTCGCAGGTGTTGTGTAACAAATGTTGCAATATGAAGTATAGATTGGAATATCAAATCACAATCGATTCTCGCGTTTGTGCTCCGTGTTATCAACTACTTACGAAAGGCAAGTTGTGTTATTTTCTCTTTTATCGCACGAAAGTTGCACAAAAGATACTATATATTATATTGTAAATTTTCAGCGGAGAATGAACACGGGATAAATGATTGGTCGACTAATTACAGTTCGTATTCTGGACATAATGATATCAATTCTCCACAAGTACGTTGTTTCCTCAATTATCTCTTCGTGTCAATCGGTTGTAATAAAATTTATAACTGTAGAAGAACAAGAACCAGTTTGAAAGTGCTTGCTTGCTAAAAAATAGTTGTTTCAACGCACTTTTTTTTATGTATTATTAATGTAACTTTGATCAGATGTAAATACCTATAACACACTTGTTGAATACTTCTGTTCAATTTTTGTCAATGACTTGTATCGTCGACACTTCCGTATGTAAATTAAACACGAACCAAACACGAAATTATATTGTGCGCTCAACTGTAGTAGCATGTATATAGTGCTTTGTGATTTTTTTTTTAAAGTTTTGAAAACGCTCAAGTTCGTTTTGAGCTGAATATGCATGCCTGTAAAAGTAAAGCATGTTTTCGTTATTAGTGGAAATGCTATGCGAGATAATATGTTCAGTTTGATATATTCAGTTTGAATTTAGAATTCTGCGCGTGAAAAGTCTAACCCGTGTGTAGTTTGTAGAAAAATACGCTGTATATAAATTGAAAATTTGCTGTAACAAAGTTTTTGATAAAAACACGTAAGAAGAACATCTTTGTTTTGGGCGCTTGTAAAAATATTATCATAGAAGAATATAATATTCGTGTTTGCGCTCAGAGCGATCGAACGAATGTTGATGTTGGAAGTATTCGACAAATGGTTATAGGGGAGACAGCCTAATCCAAATAATCCCATGGAGTACTGTTCAACTATACCACCCTTGCAACAGTTAGCCGGCGGTTTACCACCACCGCCAACGGTGATGGTGCCTGTAGGCGTTTTGAAGAGGGAAGGTTCGAAGCATCGTACAGAAGGACAGAAATCTGTTATATTCAGTGACGGTAGGTAAATAAGAAGAAATCACGTTATTGAATACTCTTTACTCCTTTTACTCCTCTTTCTTCTTTATTTTACCAAGTTGATATATGATGTGTATAACTTTATACACGTATATACATATATATGTTTTAATTTATTTTTATGCAATAATATCCTTAACTATGTATTTATAAGTTTTCTCCTGCGTATTATAATTTTGTATTTTTCATTTGCGTTATTCCTTCGTCCGAGAAAAATTTTTGTTGCAAAGTTATGTCCCCGATTTGTTTTCGTCTCACTGGAACGTGGCGTCGTCACGTTGTCGACCCGAATCCTTCCTATTTGTTTTATTTTTACGCACCTATAACTAAAACACAGGAATAAGGCCTGGCTGTGACCTGACAGAGCTAGACACGTGTTGGGATCCGAAGCCACCGTACCGTAAGCAAGGAAACAAGCGAGTTTTTATGTCAGGATCCACGTTAACGGATACCGTGATGAGGAAGCAGAGTCACCCTCCTCTAGACAGCGTGACCAACAGTTACATACCGCACGATTCCAATTTATTACCGCCAACCGTCACTATACATAAAGGCCGTAAGTATGTTATTATTAAATATGTGAAACTTGTACGAAACAAAACAAAACAAAAAAAAAATAAAAAAGAAACAGAAAAGGTAGAAATAGAAAATAGTAAATACATGTTTTAATCGCTACAATTTGTCAAGAGATTTTTTGACAAATACAATTATATGTTTCTTTTGCAAATGTAACGTGTAATTCAGCAGTTTATTTTGTCTTTGTATTGCGTAAGCAGAAGTTACGTATCATCCGCCAATGGAAGAAGGTCTGCTCTATAAAACGCTAAAAAATGAATGCGAACCTCCGGTAATGTTCGCGATCAATCGAAATCTGTATGCGTATGTGAAGATAACTAATCGTAAGTATAAGTTTGATGGTAAGAACTCTTGACATTTGTTAATTATGTAAGAACAATTATTTTTGTTTGCTCTGTGAACATTTATAGTGAACTGCTGTGTGAACAAGATCTGCTGGAACGTAACGTCGAGAGGTCTCGCTTGTGTCGGCCAAGACGAAGTTATATTGTTAGTGGAAGTTTTACCGGATGAAACGCGAATTCCGAAAGATCTTCTCATATATATCAATCAGTTGTATCTCGAAGCTATAAAAGGTAATGTATTCACATCGATTATATGTATAATTTTACTTGTATTTTACTTGATACCGATTTGATTTTACCTTTTTTTTAACGATTAATTTATTTCTTGCCTTATTTTTTTTTTTTTNAGGTAACACGATGACGGAACTCGGATTTTCGATATATCAAGGTGGCAACTTGCTAGGTTCGCGCGAGCATAAAGGATTTCTTTTTATTCGTCAAAATTTTTTTTTTGCCTTATTTTTTTTTTTTTTTTTTTTTTTTTTTTTACGTTCTTTTATTTCAGGTAACACGATGACGGAACTCGGATTTTCGATATATCAAGGTGGCAACTTGCTAGGTTCGCGCGAGCATAAAGGATTTCTTTTTATTCGTCAAACATTGCAGTGTTTACAAAAGATTATTTTACCACCCGCACCTTTTCTGATTGCGCTCTTGGTTCATAGGTAAATATGCACTTGCGATACTGAAAAGATTTGTGTAAAAAGTCGATATATTATTTTATTTTGTTTTTTGACGTTTTCTTACAGATGGGAAACTCCGTGGGCCAAAGTCTTCCCATTAAGACTCGTTCTACGTCTTGGTGCGGAATATCGTTATTATCCTTGCCCACTTGTGTCCGTTCGTTTTCGGGACGCGTTATACTTCGAAATCGGACATACCGTTATGAAAGTATTGGCAGATTTCAGACATTTCGCTTATACTTTACCGATAGTTAGAGGTTTAACGATTCATCTTAAGAATCGTACAACGGACGTTATGTTTCCCAGAAATCGTTATGATCAAGTAATAAAAGGACTTAACAACTCGAACGATCACGTTTTGGCTTACGCTTCGAATTTTAGTATAACTGCGGATTCGCATTTAGTTTGCATACAAACGAATACTGGTGACGAAAGCAATTATCAGACACAAGCGATAAATATTCACAATAAACCAAGAACGGGTAAAAAAATTACTAGATTATCTTTTTAAAAGAAAGCTGTAGAGAGAAAAAAAAAGAATTGTATGTAATATCATTTAGTTGTTGTTTGTTACACAGTAACCGGTGCTAGTTTTATTGTCATCAATGGCGCTTTAAAATCGTCGATGGGGCTTTCCGCAAAGTCGAGTATTGTGGAAGATGGTTTGATGGTGGAGATAATGCCGGAAAAAATGGAAGCGTTGAAAGCCGCTCTGAAAAACATGCAGGACTTCTCGATCGGTTGCGGACGTCAAGGAGCGTCGGAGCCGGACGAGACTGTGAATATAAAATGGGTCGATAACGACGTAATGTTTAATATAGGGTATAAATTTTTTATTTTTGCATTTTGTAATAATATCTACACATATATAAGGATTTTTTTATTTTTAGAGTTAAAAGTCCTATTGATGGACAATTAATGGACGGTATACCGTCGATTAGGGTACATAATGGCACCGATTACAAAGGAACTACTCGATTTATACGATGGACAGAAGTATTCATCATAAAAGTACATATCTCTTTGTGTGTGATCGCACGTAAAAACATTATTAGTTATATGTGTTATATATGTAAACAAATATATATGCTAATTAATATTATACAACTTGTAGTATTAAACTGTGTTGTGATTTAATTTATTTTAAAAGTCGGATGATCATTCGAGTGGCGTGAACGATCCGGTGGATATAAATAAACTTTCTGGCAATATAGCGAAAGCAACGTGTACAGCGCTAGTTAAACTGTTGGATCTTCTCGCGACGGCAGGTTTAACGAAGCTTGGTGTACGGGCAACGATTCATCCAGATAACGTAATTAGACTTCATTTTATGTGTACATCTCTTAAAATAAGTAGTATAAGAAACTGTGGTAAAACTGCCGATCAGGGGAGCAGCCTCTAATGACCTTGACATGTACTATCAAGGTCGTGGCCCCGAGTAGAAGGTTCCGAAGGTTTTATCCGGCGGTCGTTGTTTGTTTACAAGTTATTAACAGAAAAAGTGCAATACGACATCGTTTTTTGACTTTGCGTATATTGCAGAAATGTGAGATGTATTTATATAAAAATATATGTGTTAAACACAAACATTTATGTGTATGCGTGGAAACAGTGTGTTTTGCCCTCCTACGGGGAGGCTCCACTATCCAGAAACTAGACACATAGGTTCAACCCAAACCTATGTGTCTAGTTTTTTTATAGTGGAGCCTCCTCGCAGGGAGAGAAACGGAACACACTGTCTTCACGCATACACTTTTCACGCTAAGCAAAATTCCACATAGATATATACTATCAAAATATTCAATTAATGCATACATTTAATTAATATGTAAACTCTTTAATGGATAAATAGTATTCATAATTTTTAAGAAGGCATCTCTATCCGTTCATTATATAATCTTTTATTCAGTGCTCCATGATAAAAACAAAATATTTTTTCTCTACACTGTACGTGGCATAGGAAAATGAAGAATTATTTCTAAAACTCTTTTGATAAATAATTTGTAAACAAACAATGACCGCCGGATAAAACCTTCGGAATCTTACTCGGAGGGTCACGACCTTGATAATATATGTCAAGGTCAAAGTCATCAGAGCTGTTCCTCTGATCGGCAGTTTTACCGAAATTGTATAATATTATTAACCTTAAGAGGGCCGGACTGACACAGATCCATGTATGATGGGCCACAGCAACAGACTCGGCAACTGTATAATACATATGTAAGTTACATATGTGTATAAATTTTCCGTGAAAACGTTTAAAATTTTTATAGAAAAATGCCGGCCCTCTGCAAGTTAATTGTTCAAAATTGATTGTATTGTTGCTGACGTTACATATGTATGTAGGTGGGCTACGAAGCTGGAAGCGAGGGTACGAAATTGCCGCCTATTTATATGAAAAGTTTGGACAATGAATTAATTCAAGTTTTACACAAAGCTGCGCAGAGCAGTCAGGATGCGCACACAGTGCTTGAATTAATATTTTACATACTTGAGGATTAAAAGACTTACAAAGCATATGTTCTGTATTTCTTTTAATTGCCAATGTTGTTGAGATCGAATTACTTTTACTCAGCGGGAAAAATGTGCAATTATATACATTAATATATGACCTGTAAATTATCTTTTTCGTGTTATAATTGATTTAAGATCTAATATTTTCAATTTCTGTTTATTCTGATAGCGAATAAAATATTGTTAAATATTAGGAATTTTATTGCAAACGTCACCGATATATAATTTGATCGTAAATTCATTTTCTTACAAACTTACACAAGAATCGAAAAAAAAACATTAATACAAAAAATTGTTTAACGTCGTTTAAGTTTTTTTCTTTGCTGTTTTTTTTTTTTGCTGATAGAAAATGACGTTTACATATATAT